GCTCAATATTACATGCTCAGTATTATGTTACTCATATATTATTTTTTTAGCTGAGGTCTTACTGGCTGACAGCTGCATGCTGTTTTTCTTTTTGTGATTCAACTCTCTGGCTCTATTAGGTTAAGTGCTGATTCTTTTCTAGGAATGCAGAATTGTTCTTTTCAACACACAAGTCACAAGGTACAAAAATGCACTTTATGTCTAGGTGAAAAAAAAACAGGTAAAAGAACATTTAATCCCTGATTTCTCGCAAGTGATGCATTTTTGGTTTTACAATTTAAAATGATTTTTAAAAAAACAGTGTTCTTAATTTAAGATATGATTCTGCTTGTAGGTGTCTTTGCAAATGTGAACATGTGTCATTGTGACAAATGTGGTTCTAAAAAAACAACTGCTTGGTATTTCTGAGTACTTTGGCATACATTTTGCAGATGCTGTACATGAGGCTTATCTTTCTCATTGTTCCTCTTTAGCTTGAGGTTTCTGCTGCCTGAGACATTCACTTAGCAGCGCATCATTGGAGGCTTTCTTCTTGATGTACTCCTGAATCTCAGTTGTTTCATCCTGTACAGTAAGTGTCTCTGATGATCGCTAGTCTTCTGCCTCCTCTTTCTCTTAGTATATAATTTGGGGATTCTGGACAAGGGGTGCATTTTGAAGAGTTTTTTTTTTTAATGTTGTGATGTCAATGGCTCATCGCCACAGCAAACTAACTCTCAAAAAGACTTGACATTTGTTTTTATGCCAGACACCCTTCCTGATGCAACCACAGACCACCGTGCTACCACAGCTGAGGACCGAGATGGGGTAGAGGTAAGGCAGTCGACTTGGGGCCAGAAAGTCGCAGTTCCAGCCTTTCCAACACATCGTGGTGTCTCTGAGCAAGACATCTAATCCCCAATTGCTCCCCAGGTGCCTACATAGCTGCCCACTGCTCCACCTGGGTCTATATCACGTATGATGGGTTAATGCAGAGAACGAATTTCGCCATTGTACGGGAACATACAATGATGACAGCACATAGTACTTATACTTATACAGCCCTCTGTGTGGAGCACAGAGCTGCCATGTGGGGCACCCGGGGGAGCAGATGGTGGGGCCTTGCTCAAAGGCTCAGAATGGGGCAAATAAGGGTGGAGGTAGGTGTGGGTGTTTCACCTTTCCCACCCGCATTTTGTCAGGTTGAGGAGCTTTCTTTTTTCTGCATTGCTTTAACATATCTTCGAATCAGAGGGCTTTACAGACAAAGAGAGAATCATCAAATAAAACTGACAAAAGACTGACAGTTTACAAATGGCATTGCATTAAAACCCCATTTTAAAACATACAGATCAGATAACATAATCATCACTGTCTTCTTTTAAATATAATGGTGCACAGTTGTCTGGACCTGCTTGCCTAAGGCCAAATGTTTAGCAGAAACCCTAGAACACAGTGGTGATAATAAAATACAGATTGGCACTTGCACGGCCATTGACAAACCAGTTCTTTATATTGTTGTCATTGGTATCATACACAAATAAGTACACTTGTACACTCTGTTTTCTTGTTACATCTACAGGTACTTGCATAAAGTATTTTTAAGATATTTGAGATATTATAGGACAGCAGACAATGTCATACTGTTGAAATGCTAATGTAGCAAGTATTCATACCCCTAACACGTTGCCATATTTTTTCACATTTACAACCACAAATTTCAAAGTATTTTACTGGGGTTTCATGTGATAGACCACTACGAAGTGGCACATAGTTGTGAAGTACGATGTTAATGATACATTATTTTTAATGTACAAATTTCATCTGTTTGCTTTTCCGTCTTCAGGGGTCTCCACAGCAAGTCATCCTCCTCCAGCTCACTCTGTCCTCTGCATCCTCTGTCCTCACTCCAACTCCAACAATACCTCCATGTCCTCTCTAACTTTCCTCTTCTCCCTCTGTCTCCTGACATGTTTCCCTCCTCGTGCTTTTCGACTAACGGTAGCACAATTTCTGCCGGCACCCTGTTTGTCAACAGCACCGGTGGCGGTCGTAGTTAACCCGGACTTCGACCGATCCGTAATGTGTGACATGTACCTGTATTTGTATTTAGACTTCTTTACTGTGAAAACCAAAACTAAAGTCCAGTGACCTAATTAGTAAATAACAATGTAAAAAAAAAAAACTGTGTATTTTAGGTTCAGTATAAATACGATAGTTCAGTGAAGGTATCAGTGGTTTGTTGCTGAACACGAGGGATCAAAATTTCTCATGAAGACCAAGAAGCGCACAAGACAGGTTAGGGATAAAGATTTTGAAGAATGTGTCATTTGTACAGCACTTTAACGTCATGCGCTATTTTGTTTAGAAAATACTTTAAAGTTTGTTTCTACATGACAAAATGTAGACCAGTTCAACAGGAACAAATACATTTTAATGGCACTATATGTATTGAAACAGACTGGTGGTGGTGTGTGCACACGCTGCAGCTCATCTCTCTGTCCCAACAGAATGGTGTTGTGTTTTTTTCCGCACCTTTATACATCTTCATTGCATTTGCTAAATTAATTTACTTTCAAGTGAGTACACAGCCATGACCGTGCTTACAGATGTATCAGTCAACTGGAATATCAAAAAGAAGTATAAAAACACCAAGGGTGGTACAACCCTTGAGACTAGGAGGCACAGGGTGTAACACAAATTGTAAAGTAAACGCAAAGCTCATGACTCAAAAACAGTCCAATTTGGCATTACAGTGATTTATTCGTTTATTAGTTCTGAGAGTTACAGACTGAAGGGAAGCCATGAACTTCAGGGTCTCCAAGTCCAAAACAACAAACAAAAGAATGCCCCTTCTGGCTAGAAAACAAAATCACCTCTTATCTAACAAAACAAAAATTACAACTCCTAATCTCCCTGTCTGGCCACAAAACAGGAGAAAAGTTAGTTAAACTAAAATGGTGGAGAACCCCTACCAAACTTCCCAAGTAAAGCTTCTTAAATAGAAAAGTTCACAGAAGATCAGCAAGGTCTTCTCAGAGTTGTTAAAACACTTTGTACACAGAGTTAAAGTCTAAGTCAACCACACCACAACAATGATCAGGGCCAAGAGGAAATGCCCAAAGAAGAGGCACGGCACTGGATCACGGAAGCTTTTATGCAGTCCACTGATGAGAAGTGATTCCAGGTGTGCAGCATGGTGTGACAACAGGTCTGTAAACAAGCAAAGGAGGAGAGGGGTTGTCCTCCAGTAAGAGAACACCTAGAAGTCAGTAAATGTAACAAAGACCTAAATATGAAATGAAGAAGTTATGATAAAATGAGATCTAAGTCGTGTCAGGGGTCAATGGAGCATTCAGAGCTGTGACATATTTTGTGGGTGCTTTATTACAAAGTGAACAGGACGACTGCACCATCTTGAAGGAAGGATGGATGGGGTCATGTATCATGAGATTCTGTCCAACAACCTCCTTCCCTCAGTAAGAACATTAAAGATCATGGCTGGGTCTTCCAGCATCACAATGACCTGAAACACAGCCAGGACACCCGCTTCTGATGTTATCAGCCATTAAATGGCCGTTATTAGTTGTTATCATCCCCATATGTAGCGGTCAGACTGCCCCTCCTGTACCTCCCAGTGGGTTTAAAGGTACGTTGTTAGCAATGATAATAGGCTCTATTTTTAGCTTTGTTAGCGCTCATAATAGCTTCACGTGGTCAGGTTTAGAGTAAAGGGTCTGGCGGTTAGGTTTATGGTCTTGGTTAGGTTTAGGCACAAGAGTAAGGGGGTTAAGTTTAGGGTTGGTCCTCAGGGTCAGATGTAAGCTTACGTTTAGGAAAAGGGTTACATAAGCTGAAAACAACTAAAAAGACACTTCCTGCTTTACCCCCATGTGACGCTGCTTATTATCAGCAATAATAACGATAATAATGTACATTTAAACCTACTAGGAGGTAGGTGGGACAGTTTGACCGATACATATAGGGATGATAACAACTAATAACGGCCATTTAATGGCTGATAACATCCGAAGCCACTCGCCAGGACAACTAGGAGTGGCTCCATAAGAAGCTTTTCAAGATCCTGGAGGGGCCAAGTCAGTCTCCAGTCCTGAACTCAACAGAAAGTCTTAGGAGGGAGCTGAAACTCAGTGTTGCCCAGAGGCAGCCCTGAAACCTGAAAGATCTGGAGAAAATCAAAATCTCTGCTGCTGTGTGGAAACTTGATCAAGAACTACTGGAAATATCTGACTCTAACTGCAAACAAAGGTTTCTGTACCAGATATTAAGTTCTGTTTTTCTGTTGTATCAAATATGAGATATAGTTCACATAATAAAATACAGATTAATTACTTAAAAATCAAACAATGTGACTTTATGGATTTTTTTTTTTTTTTACATTCTGTCTCTCACAGTTGAAGTGTATCTACAATAAAAATACAGACGTCTCCATTCTTTGTAGGTGAGAAACTTGCAAAATTGGCAGAGTATTAAATATTTAATTTCCCTACCATATATATATATATATATATATATATATACATACATTATTTCTTTCTGATTATAGGTTATTATTAACTACTTGTTTATTTTTATAAAGTTCCTTGAGATGCAATCTATTGAAAATTTGTATTAAATAAACTGAATACATTAATAAGAAATTGTTATAATAAAATGTAACATAAATAAAAATTAGGGGAAGTTTAGTAATGCCTTAAAATATCTTGTGAGGTAAAGTGTTTAAAAAAAGGAGAGTCATCAGAAAAGCATGACGGAGCAGCATGACTGAAACATCATGGCACAACGTCAGTCTTTGTTGTCTTGTTACGATCATTGTGTCCACAGGCTCTGAGCACTGAGAGACCTCAGGGAAGTGATGCATCTACATAGAAAATATATCAGATAGAGATCCCTGACGTGTCATGTGGTTTCCACCACTCCCTTTGACTGTATTCTAAGCCACACCTTGAAAAAACATCAAGATGTTGAAAAAGTTGCAGGATGTCAGGCGCCCTGACTGCTTCCTCCCTTTCAGCTTAAATAGGGACAGAAACGCAGCAGGTGTCAGATCATCACCTGGGAGCCTGTTGGAAACGTCAGACGTAGAGCACCAACGGGTCATACCTGAGGATAAAACCATCACCTGACTTTCAAAGGAACTATTTTTGCTCACAAATTCAATTCGGCCTTCGCCTGCACTTACCACAAGAAGATCTACAGGTAAGCAAGAACCACCGCATTTCAAATTTTCTTTTATTTTCTTACGTTATTGCACTTTGGTATAATATTGACCGCATGAAAAATTGATTAAAAACAGTTAATTATCTTATGTAGCATATTATGTGTGTTTATTTTTATGGTACTGATATAACATTGTTTTATTTTTTTCATGATTATAAAATGGATTTGACAGAACTACAATAAGATAAATGCTGTTAGACTTGTTTGGACAAAACAAAAAAGAATTGGTTCAATGATGGTTAAAATTTTATTTCAGATTTTTCTCAATTATATAACATTCAATCTCAGTTTATACAAAAAGGTTTGGTTAGATTTCAAATGGGATCTAACTTTGGGCCGAGATGGGGTAGAGGCAGGGCATCTGACCCAGGACCCAAAAGTCCTAGGCTCGATCCCCAACTGTTCCCACGTGTTGTCTCTGAGCAAGACAACCAATCTCTAATTGCTCCCTGAGCAACTACATAGCTGCCCACTGCTCCACAGAACTAACGTCGCCATTGTATGGAAACATACAAAGATGACAACACATAGTATTTATTCTACTCATAAATGTTGTAACAAATTTAATTTCAATGACGCTCACTTTTCACTATAATAGCAATATATGTACCTAAAATATTTATGAATGCAATGTTAAATCATATTAATTTTGTTTGTTTCAAGTTGAAAAGGAAGTTAAATCTTGCAGTCTTGATCATTAATAAGTCCTTCCACCCCTGTAGACATGAATAACCAACTGCTCCTCGGTGTCCTCTTGGTGACACTGTCCTGGGGGTTTATGGGCGCCTCTGCTCAGTCCTCCTCAAACACTACATCCAACATGACGGCATCAACCACCACATCTGGACCAAATACCACAGTGAGCTTGTCAGCCAACACGTCAACGGTGGCATCAGCCAGTTCATCAAATTCCAGCAATGCAACGACTCCATCCACGGCTGGGACATCTAATGCCGCAACCAGCAACGCAGCAGCCAGCAATGCAACAAACAGCAACACAACAGCCAGCAATGCATCAGCCAGCAACACAACAGCCAGCAACTCATCAGCCAGCAACACAACAGCCAGCAACTCAACAGCCAGCAACACAACAGCCAGCAACTCAACGACCACCAACACAACTGCTTCGGCAACAACTTCGTTTTCAGTGGCAACTCTTCTGGTGATGAATACCAACAAGTCAAATACGTATTTAGAGAGCAAAAAATGGTGTTTTGCCACTTTCATTATGTGGTGTTTGAAGTGCACGGCATAAATGCTTCTCTTTACCTTTACAGACACCTATTTCCAGGACAAACTGTGGCTCCACAAAGCTGTGTGCAGCTGAACCCTCATCCTGTGACCCGTCTACAGGAAACGGGTGCTATTTCATTTCCGCCCAGCAGCAGAGCGGTCAGTTATATAACTTTGAGGTCTCGGGACAGACAGATGGCTACATTGCGGCTGGAGTGTCAACAGCCTCAAGTCAGGTAAACCATATTGTACCATTTGAAATGAAATGACTATGAGCTTTAAACCTGAGCCTTTATCAGGGTTTGATTGAAGACCTCTAAGTACCATGTGTTTTCTGTTTGACAACACAGAATGGGACTAACCAAGCCTACATCTGTGTGAACAACAACAGCACTGTGAACTTCTTCACTGGCACCATCACCAACCTCCTGCTGACTATGACACAGGTGAATTGTATTTTCATGGCAATAGTTGTAGGGAGGGCACATACACTACAGTATTTACAATAATGGAGTGTGACCATGCATTATCTTTACCTGCGTCTTCCTTTTCGCGTAGCGGATGTAACGATGCTTATTTTCTTCAAATGATTGAGCATCCAAATAGTTACCTCACTCTTTATTTGCTCTCCTGAAGACAATAAACCAAACACATCATTTGTCTTCTGTGTCCTGCACTTCTGGCTCCTTCACGTGCAAAAATAAATGTTATACTGTAGAATGGCAGCAAACCATGCGCCGAGCCATTACAGTCAGCAACCACAAGAGGGCGCACTAAACTGAAAGTGGCGCCAAAACTAGCTTACAATTGGGACAATAAAACGTCTATAAAACTTGAGTTGTTTTTTTTTCCTTTTGCGGTCAAATTGAAAAATAAAAGTCACTATAATAATATGATACCAACCAGAATACCAAAAGGTTTATAACTTATATAGCTAAATTTTCGAAGACAAAGAAAAAACCCCGCCAACAACGTTTTCGCACTACTTACCCTCACATTGCATGGCGGCAAAGTGAGGGACAGGAAGTTACCAGAACGAAATTATTACATCGTTTCCACCTTTGAGACATTTCAAAAAAAAAGACCTCAATAAGCTAAAATTTACAAACGTATTATTAACACAGTAAACAAACATTTCAGAGTACTACTGTAAATTAAAACGCATCTTTGCCGCAGTTTGCTCATTTGTTTTCACCTTTCAGCTGAACGCAAGCAACGTGAAGGGGTCAGTCAGCTCAAATAAAATCCAGTGCACGTTTGCGGCCACGCTACCAGATACAACCACTCGAGCAGCAGCCTACTCTTTGTCAGTTTCAACTGGAACTTACAACTCCAGTAAGCATCACCCTGCGCACCCTCATTTAAATTTCAGAATCACAGATTACAAATGAAAAAATAAAATAAAATCATGTACAATACATATCAGTCATATGTTTCTCTTTTGTACGCTCTCCCTTCCTCTAAGGTACTGGAGCATTAGGATCACCAAGCTTCAAAATATTTACCAACCAGGTAAACCTGTCGGATCCTACTGCCAATGTCACCAATCAGATCAACGGCGCTTATCCAGTCACATACCAGCAGCCACTGATTCCAGGTGAGCATAAGACACGCGCCATTGTTTTGTTCGGGATTGTTTTTTACTATCTGAATTAGCCGGATCTGGTTAAACTAAGCAAGTAAGCGTTCTAATTCTAATGAGTTTTTCTGTTTGTCTTTTCTCACCTGCAGCTCTGCTGGTCACCGTCATCATGATGACTTTCAGCGCGCTGTAAACTGGTTCCTGTCGAGGTTTAAAGAAAAAACAAAATCATGACTTTTCTGTCAATGCCCTGCTGCAACTGAATATAAATGTTTAAGCTTTCATGCTCTGCACACAAGGTTCCAGATTAGTTACATTCATATTTTGCTGACTCCCCACAGTGAAAGCTGAAGGACTGTGTTGATTTTTTTTCTTCTTTTTAGTACATTTTATAATTCACAATTCTAAAAGTTAAAAGAAAATAGAATCCAGGGTTTAAATTTGATGTACGTATATAAATTGTTTAACCACAGAACTGCTGGATTTCTGTTCTGTGACCTCCCACTCTCAACCACTAACACACACAGACATTAGGCAATCTTTGAACTGTGTCATGATGGAGTATAAACCATTATCAGAGATGGAAAAACAAGTTGTAGTTTTCTCCAGAATATATTACAGTTGATACAAGTTTTGGGTTTCAAGGTCTGGTTACCTTTTAGGCCTTTCATATTAGTTGTATGCAACAACAACAAAAATCACAAAAGTTAGATTTTTCAAACTAAAGTAAAGTTTTAATTTTTCGTTAAGTTGATTATTTGCGATCTTGTGTGAGTTACAGCTTTTTTACAAGTATATATGTTTTCTCACATGCAAGAGATTAAATATCTTTTTTCGTAATTATTGCTAATTATGTCCTACATTAGATTACATTGTTTTATTTTTCCCGTTTAAATGGTAATAATTATAAAATTGTGGCAAAAAAAATGAAGCTCTTACTGGCTGATGATTTTTTGAACGTTAGTGCAAATGTGAACTCAAAAAATGCTAGTTGGAGCCAAATATTGGTACAATTATTGTACATTTGCACATTACATATTGTAACAACTTATATTTTAATAAAAGTTTTTAAATAAAACCTTTGTATGAACTAATTTTTTCATCAGTTATGTATATAAAAACTTTTTGCCAGAGGTGGAAAATAGGAATCTATATTTACTTGTGTTAGTGTATGAAATTTGTGTACTTTGTACTTTTTATGTAATTGTATGAATCTAAGCTTTTACTTGAGAATGCTTAGGGGCTGCAGTAGCTTAGTGGTCAATGCTGTGTGATCCTGAGGTTGTAGGTTCAAACCCAGGTTGTGTCAGGAAGGGCATCCACATAAAAAACAATTGCCAAATGTTTCATGCGAGTTCGACCGCTATGTGGCAACCCCTGAAGAAAAGAGCAGCTGAAAGAAAATTACTTTTACTTTAGTTACATTTGAAATCCCATCTTTTACTAAGTAGAAAAACAAAACAAAAAGTGAATTACTCAGGAGGAGTAAAAAATGTGTACCAAAACACCTGCGGTGACTTGTGTAAGATGAAAATATTTTCTATTTATCTTACTGACACAAAGAAGCCACACTCGATGACAGGAGAAGATTTTTAACTGGTTTTACTTGCAAGGGCAGACTTTCACAACAGATTACACTGATGTACAGGAGTATACACTCATGGAGCCCAGTCACGAGAATCTGCCATGGGCAGTGTGGGAGGCTTGTTTTTATAAGCTTATCAGTTCTCACAGTTCACAGACAGACTGGCATCCTTGGACTGCCAGCTGCACCTGCACTATCAAATCAGCTCTAATTTAGCCCTCTCTGTGAGAGAATAGAACTCTCTGTTAACTCAAACACATGGTTCATGGGCACTTAACATTCTCAGCCATAGCAGTTAAAAAAACATCCATAAACCTTGACCAAAATTCCCTAACAACTGGATCTGTTCATTACTGTAAGGGTGGGTGGTGTCACAGATCATGTATTATTGCTTCACCTAATTTATTTTGCTTAAATCCCGTGGAAAATTGAATATGATAAAATATAAAACTCCGAACTGTCAATCTCACAGAAAAAAACTGAGTCTTGGGGAAAAATAAATAAATAAATTTAAATGGACCAGGTATTGGATTCAAAATAGCCAGACACTAGAGTAAAAAAATGAGAATAGTTTTTATTTATTTTTGGCTGTTGCAGGAAAGTCAGAGTCTAGCTGCGGTGACAGATCCTCACAGGCAGGAGGGAGAGAGTCACATGTCAGAATAGCAGCGATGATGTCACTGGCAGAGCAGCTGCGGAGGAGTGCTGCAATACGTGGTTCGTGCGGGGGGACAAGTCCAAGAGTGTGGTCTGAAAGATGTAGGGAGAGAGTCAGTTGTCATACACAGTAGATCAGAGTTCCAGATAATAAATCCAAAAACATAATCCGTGAGGCGTAGTAGTATGAACAGAAGCAGGGCTCATTACCCTGGGCAGCGAGAGTAATCTAGTTCCGGCAAGGAGTAGGCAAAGCACGATAAATCCAATGGACGTGGCTTGGGGTCGAAATCCAAAAGAAAAAGCTTGAGGGTCAGACATGAACAAAGAACAAGAAGGCTTGATATCAGTGACTATGAGAGGTATAATAATTTGGCAGGGAACTAGTGAGAATGGGGCTCTTGAATAGTGAGGGACACAGGTGCAGTGAATCGGGGTTGATGAGCTAACATGCAGAGGGGGTGCGGCTGACTGACAGGAGCAGGGAAACAAAAACATGATGACAGAAGAGCACAAACCTGACATGAAGGGCTGAGAGTGAGACAGGGGATGTGAACATGACATGAAGGGGCAGAGACATGAACAGGAGCTATGGTAGGAAGGGCAGAACCGTGGCATAAAAGCAGGAAATATGGCATGGGGGCACAGAAAATGTGACAGGAGGGGCAAAAACGTGACATAACTCCCCCTTAAAGGTCCGGAATCCTGACGGACAACCAGGAAATCTAGGAAGAAAATGGTGGGTGGAGGGGGTCTGGGAGAGAGCAAGTAAACAGGTTGGAGGCCAGAAGTGCTATCCAGGGCAGTTCCAAGGCTCAGATGGGCAGCCAGGAGGCCGACCGGCAAGAAGCAACATTTTGGGTGGACGGCCAAGCGACCATCCAGCAAATGGCAAAAGGATCAGATCTGCAACAGGCATGGGGTCAGATCTGCAGCTGTCATGGAGGCCCGGGGAGCTGCAGCTGTCGTGAAGGTGGGCTGCTCTCCACAACACCCATGGCGAGGCGTAAAGGTGGGCTGTCATCCACGACGTCCACGACAAGGTGTGAAGCCCTTGAGCAATGTGGACCCCTTGAGGCCAGACATGGAACCCTTAGGACAAGGCGTGGAGCCCTCATGGCAAGGCGTGGAGCCCTCATGGCAAGGCGTGGAACACTTAGGACAAAGTGTGGAACCTCAGGACAAAGTGTGGAACCCACAGGATAAGGTGTGGAACCCAAAGGACAAGGCACGGAGCTCTTGAGCAGTGTGGGACACTCAAGGCAAGGTGTAGAACCATCAGGACAAGGGATGGAGCCCTCAAGGCAGGGCAAGGTGTGGGCCCTTGAGTGGTGTGGGACCCTCGAGGCCAGGTTTGGAGATCATGGGTTCTGCATCTGGTTTGGAGGTCGTGGGTTCTGCATCTGGTTTGGAGGTCGTGGGTTCTGCAGCAGGCTTGAGGCTCATGGGTTCTGCAACAGGCTTGGTCATGGAGATCTCTGAGGCGGTGGCTGGCGTGGAGTCCTTCAAGGCATGTGTTTTTCATCACGTCATTGTCTATTAAAATGTAAAAAAGTGAAATTCACATTCACAGTGACTTTTGGCTACCTTGGGCTGTGCCTGGCCTGGCATGTTCTCTCCTCCTGGTGTATCCTGGTCTGATCCACCAGCAAACCCCCTGAAAGCTGAGTGAACTTGAGCCCTCAACACTGACCTGCTTAGGAACTGAGACCTGGTGAAGAGTGCAACTTTGGGTCTTGTTATGCCATTTTATCTGATGCCACTTGATAAATCATTTCCTGGCTTGCAGTGATAACAAATGGCTTGGCATGGTCACAATAGATAACTTCTCTCAACCAAAATCCAAAAACTATTTATCTAATAGCTAAACTTTGTCTACATTTTTGTGCGTAAGAAAACCCAAATAATTCCTGCTCAAAGAATTAACTTTGCCTTAGATAAGAGAATTAACCCTTGATTGACTAGTTATTGTTGAAATTGTTCATTATTGTTTTAGTAATTACTTTATTGCTTTTTCAAACTAGTTATTCACCAAATTTTTATCATTTGTGTTGATTGTTGTTGATGATCCTTATCTAGATTCATTATTTTGTAATAAAAGTCACAACAAATTTGGTCTTCTCATTCAGATAAATATTCATGTTATAGTATGGGGCTCCTTGTAATGAATGGATTCTGCTTTAGTGACTGAGTTCTGATTATTAAAGGGTGAATGTATTAATAAGTTTTAGTTAAATGACCTGCTGGTGCTCTGGTTTAACAGGTGCAAAACAAGTGTCACCATTCTTCAGGTTTTCATAGTGACAAGGGAATGTAGGTAAAGGATGTTTATCAGTAACATGTTAAACTAATGTGTGTGAGTTAGAGTTGATTAACTCCAAGGCCTCCACCTCATCTGTAGGCTGGAAAGACGACGTCGTGTTGACCTCGCCTCTGTCTGATAACGTGTATTAAAGCTTTCCCTGCCTCTGCCCGGCGCAGATTCTCACTGACGAGGCTCAAAGTTTGTTTGTACATCTGTGAAAGCTTCCTCGTGACCGTCTGCCCTTGCAAGTAAAGACCGGTTTAAAAATCTTCTCATGTCCTCGGAGTGGCTTGTTTGAGTAAAGGGATGATGAAAGAATAATTAATTTAATACAGGTGCCCAAGTTTTTTTTTTTTCTTTTCCTCCAAACAAGGCCACAAACAATGTGTGCCACTGACAGAATGCCATTTTATTACTGTATTCTAGATAACAGCCAACAACTTTTTGCAGCGTACTTACCGGTATTTATTTATCGTGGCTGTTTGCACACAACACTGTGTCCAAAGTGGTACTGAAAAAAAATCTGCGTTTCTTTGTGGTAATTTTTCAGTTCATCGATCAAAGACAAAATGTTTTTGTATTAATGGAGTTTAAAAGAAAACTACAGTGTCAAATACAAAAGCAGCACCTGATCCAGGGTGGACCGGGAATTAACCGTGGTAAAGTCACCAAAGGTGGGGACTACTTTTCTGAAACTCTTAATTTATTAGAGAACAAAAATAAAAACTTTGATCAACTGGTTGTAGATTTTTTTTTTTTTAAGTATCATCTACATACAATTAATCACCAATTGACTAAAACAGTCAATTGGTCATCTATCATTTATCTTCTTAAAAAACATAGGTTGTTTTTTTATTTAGTCATGACATTTGTTGTCTGCTTTGTTAATCAGATTCTTTACTGACACTTTCAACAATGTTTAAAAATTTGCTCACTCCGTTTCTGTCAACTAGTTTATCTCATCAGTCACTAGCTGACACTTCGAAACCAAAACTCACTCGTCAAGGCAAACCGGTTTTATTCGTTGTTCTGCTGCTTCAAGTCCCAAAGTAACAAAACTTCTGTTTCAGAAAAATATGAAATCAGGGAAATCTTAATACATTCTAATCAAAAGCTAGTGCAGTCCATCAGTCTTTTGGTTTGTGTTTGTTTTGGTGCAAAAAAAAACATGATAAATACATGAATTATAGCATTTCACGAGGCGAGCACCCAGGTCAGATTTCACCAGGGTGTGTGTTCGGATGCTCCTATTTGTTTATGAAACTCTGCTCTTTAAGAGAGAGGTTTCCGTACAAACAATAGTTAAAAGCTTAGAC